GAAAAGGATTTTACGGTGAGTACCAAAATCCTATTTTTCTTATTTTAAAAAATGTTAAAAACGTTATTTTTAAATTTAAATTTGTTTTTTAAACTTTGAGTAAGCAAAAGGGTATTTATCTATTTTTATACTGAAGTTTTTGAAACATAAAATGTGTTCTCTAAATAATGTTTTTTTTTACATGTTGTGTTCAGGTTTATGAATGATATTCAAGACATGTTGGGTTATCGTCCTTGTATTGTGTACAAATACATGTGGCAATATATCAGTATCTTTGCTATGATTGGACTACTGCTTGCAAGTTTGATTAGAATGTGCATCAACCACCCAGTGTACCAGTCATGGAACATGGAAAAGGTATTGCTGTGAGATAACTTGAAGAGTCTTTTGATCACTGTTTTCAGCCGAGATTCATGCAGCTTTTGCACATTGTTCGAATGGAGTAATCGTTAGGAAAAACGTGTATAAAACTACACATTGATATTACATAGTTTTCTACCTAGCCAGCACTTGGAGCTCTGGGCTCATTTTTCCTTGGTTTCTTCTTCTTTCTCCTAACCACCAACGTTAACCCCTTTGTGACGAGAGAGGTACACTGTAAGTCCCGGCTACGTACACTGTACGTGACAAGTTATTTAAGGCTCTGTAATAGTTAAGCTTTTGTAAAAGCTTCTCTTTCATTAATGAAAGAATGAAGCCGTTACATACATATACAGGAGTGCTAAATAGCGATCCAATATTTGACAGCTGGAGATAGCAGAGCGACTCACCTCTCTGCTATTCGTTTTGATAGCCCGATGTTTATGATACATTTCAGGCAAAGAGATACAATGTATCTCTGCCTGAAATGTATCACTTCTGATCGTCCTAGCCACGATCAAAGACCTTTAGTGAGATCTAAATCTGACATCTCAGGAAGTCTCTAAGGTTATTATTAGCTGTTCCTAAGTTTGGAGCAGCCTAATACTAGCCAAAAATTTAAAACTGCTCGGCGGCATTCGGCTATTCACTCGCTGCTGTTTGCATCTATGAGAATAGGCGGAACAGCAGCGTGTAGCCAGATGTTGGATCGGATGAGTCCAACTCCTTCTGCACTTCGGGTCGGTCGAACATGCTGGGCATGTTCGGCCGACCCGAAGCCAGCCGAGGCCACCCAATGTACGGCTGATTTCGGCCGATATACGGCTGGAATCAGCCGTACCAGCCTGAAGTAAATAGCCAAATAGCGTTAAGCTCACTTCGCTTTCGTTCGGTTAGTTACGTGGCTGCCTACGGCAGCTTAGTGAATAGACCCCATAGTGTTCTGCATAGTTGTGTGTTTACTAGCTTGTGCAGCAATTGGCTTTATTCGCAAAGCTAAAACACCAGGATAAGGTCTTTTATTTTTTTGACAGTTCTTTTCCGCTAAAGCCAATGGGGGGAATTTATCAAAACTGGAGCAAAAGAATCTGGAGCAGTTGCCTATGGCAACCAATCAGCTTCTCTCTTTGGTTTGTTCAGTTAAGGTTTGAAAATGAAAGATGGATGCTAGTTGGTGGCCATGAACAACTGCTCCAGATTTTCTCTGCTCCAGTTTTGATAAATTCCCCTCAATGAGATTTGAAAATTGTAGTTACAATAAAGATCCTTCTCCTTGTATTAAAGCTTCGTGAACTGAGTTAATTGTGCTTGGTGAAGCATTACACAGCAAGCTTTCTAAGTTAGAGACAATTTTTGAATTGTTCCCTTTAACTGTGTCTATACTTCATTGATGATCCATTTTTCTTCTTTGGTTTATGATTTAGGCTGAAGAGCTCAAGTTGGAGTACCCACCCTGGGCATTCTCCCTTCTGATCATCCTTATCATCTTGGCTTCTTTGCCTATCCCACTGGTGTTCCTCAAAGAAACTCTACAAGACTGGTTACAAAAACAGAGAACAAAAAGATATGGACAGTGTGAATACAGTCAGGGTTGTACTGTAGATGAAGTGACAGAACCTATGGCAGAAAATATTACACGGTGTGGAAATGGTTACCTGCATGTAGAGATGGAAGACCTTGCAGAAAGCGGTAAACTTCTTTCTCCTGAAGAAGATGCTGAAGAGGACACAAATAATGTAAAGGCCTAAATACAGTCCCATTCATGTGGAGAGTATTGGTATTCCGAACATTACTGAAATCGGTTAAGATGTTAAAAAAAAGCACCTTTCTATGGCCTCCAGACATTGAAGTGCTGCTGAAGCAGGCAAAGCGGGCTTAGCCTGCCCATGTCCTTTGATCAAAGGGTTCCTCACTTGGTCAGTTCCTCCCATGGTGAAAAGAATACTCTGCCAAATTCAGGGTCCTTCTCTGTCTCAGTTGCTTCCACAGGTATTTTCAGCCCCTACCTCCGAATGACTTTGACCTAAAGTCATATGTATCTTTGAAAGAATAGTACATATTCCCAGCCACGGATGCTTTATAATATTTCATAAAGCCCACAAAGGGAACATCAGGTTGGCTATGGAAGAAAATCGCTCTTTGAAGGGTGGCTGCACCAAACATGAAGCACTTTTCACAAGCCAATAGCAGATCGGGTCACCTACTGTTTTATCCACACAGATATCACTTATAGGATTTCAGGTGCTAGCACCATATTAGGTGATTTGACTTCATTGTCTACCGCTGGATTATAGTTACTGATCTTATATGGAAGGGACCTTCTGTTACATCTCTTTCTATTGCACAATGTGTAATATGTATGTATGTATGTATATATATATATATATATTTTCATTGGAGTCATATCTGTGGACCTTGTTGCAATGATCTTCGACAATGCTTGAAAGACAGTATAACTGAACAACACGGTGACAGATCAAAAACCTCTTTCGGAACAGAAGAGCATCTGGGTACACAATCCGTCGCTTCTGTTTAGGTGGACTTGTAAATATAATTATTTATGGCTGTGAGTAAGCTTAGGTTTTCTGGGCTATATATATTTTATAGAAGCAAAAAATGTATTTTCTTAGTAGTTTTTTGTTTTGCTGTCCTAACTTAGACAGGTAAAAATGTTTTGTATGTTTTTAAGTGGTGTTTATCATTAAGATTATTTTACTGGTGCCTTTAGTGAGCGTGCGATTCTTGGGTCTGTGACAGTTGCTCGCATTTTTAAAGGAATATACACACACACACACACAGGAGCCAAAACTTTTTTATTTTCATTATTTTTTTAAAGGAGTGTAGGAGGATTAGGATACCTTCCAGGTTTGTATTGTCTGTGTCCCCATTAGGGAGATTCACCCTCTCTATTTGTCCTGGTGATCAGTGAAAGTAAAAGAAAATCCCAAAGGGATTTCCTTTCACTTACTGTTGTGGCTGTCGGACAGGAAGTGACTGTAAATCTCCCCAATGGGACACGGATGGTAAAAAAAAAAAAAGCTGCCAGGGGTTATAACCCTCACTTTATCAAAAACTAAAAAAAGTTATGGCTTAAGATTTTTTTAATAATCCTTTTAACCTATTTTTTTTTATTGCAATGGATTTTGATTCATCTGTTGTCAGGATTCGGAAGTAGCGAGCTCAGCAGAGTATGTCCCTAGTCAGTAGCATAACAAACTAACACATTTGTATGTAAACACAAAAGGTCACTACAAAAAAGGAGAGGCATTTAGATAAAATCATATTTACAGAACATGTTCATTAAATCAGTACATTTGTAAATGATGTTTAAATGTTACATAAGACAATAAAGATATTTTCCTAGCAGTTCAGTATTAAAGAACACTGGGAAGTATTTAACATGATTCATAAAGAAGACACAAGAAACAAATCGATATTGATGCATTTACACAAAAATTTAACTATGTATTTAGACTGAACAGTCACAGTAGAGTATTGGGGCAATAATCTGTTCTTCTGGAAAGTAGTTGGGCAATAGCTATATAAACTGCCACCACACCTAGTCTCCCATGGTGATCTCATCCAAAAAAAACCCGCATTATCCAGCAGATGTTTGTGTTGGATAAAACAACATTGTTCAAGAGACTGATCACTCCTTATCAAGCAATTAGAAACCCTTGTGCAAAGGTACATAAAGATATGCAGATACAGTACACTCCCCGTTATCCGGCACTTACGGGGATTGGTAGATGGCGGATAACTAGTTTCTGGTTGCTTGCGAGTTGTTATTATTAATTCTGAAGCAACAAGCCCCCAGCCCCATTTATCTGCAGTAAAGATGCTGCTATTGGCAATTTCAAATTGTCTTGGCTGGTTGTTTACATTCACCTGTGAGCTGCGGAATCTAGCCATTGGCCGTAGAAAGATCTAAACAGAGAATTTCATTAGCAACTAAATAAATGTAGTTGCTAACACAGCTAACAACATTTTTTAGTGTACACATGTCTCTCAAGCAACTGGCAAACAAAAATTGAAGACATATGTCCTTGATTTTGTATTTTTTTCTGGTTGCTTCAGAGTTCCTGATGCTTGAATGCCAGTTAATGGGGAGTTTACTGTATTTGTGTGTACATGACATTTTAATTTATATAAAGCTGTATGTTTTTAGAAAAATAAAAGCTAGCAACGGTTAGCAGTCAGATCTCATAAATTAAACTTGTTCTGCTTGTGCTACAGAACTGGTCCAATCAATGTGATGTATATAATGAAAATACAGCTTTTTAGGAATCCTGTGCACAAAGTAATGTCAATATAGAGTTTTAACCAAGTGGACTAAAGCCTTAAAAGAGAACTATGGGGTAAGTGTTTTTACATAGTTCTCCATAGTTCTCTTTAGGGTCACGGGAGGACATATACTAACCTCCTCCCGTGACCCAAAGCTCAGTATATCGCGGACTATTGCCTGCTATATACTGAGAGCGCAGCAGCCAGGACAGCTGCTTGAGTGACAGCTGGCTCTGCCTGCCCCCTCTCCCATTCATTCCTCCACTCAGCGCTGGAGGATCTGAGAGGGGAGGGGGGAATCCCTGCTGGAGGATCTGAGAGGGGAGGGGGGAATCCTTGCGGGGAGCAGTGACTGACAGTCACAGCTCACTGCAGAGAAACGATTGGGAAGTGAGCTGATCAGCGGCATGTTTCTGCTCACTTCCCGATCAATAGAGCGGAGCTGTGACTGCTTCTTTGTCACAGGTCAGCTCTAACTATGAGGATAAGTGGAAATCACCTCCTAGTTCTCATTTTTAATAGTATCAAGGAATCACAATATGCAGAAACACTCAGCAAACCTCAAAAATTCAATTTAAGGTATAGAACTAAAGGATATGCACAGTTTTCCCTTGCCAAGTTCTTAAAAATACTCCTAGAGTTCTTACTAATAAATTGTAGGAGTGAATCTACCAACTAGATTTTACATTATTAAAACCGAACAACCACATTTTGTGTTTTTTTTTGATCAAGTGGGGAAAGGGTGAAGCCACTGGCTTCTATGGAGAGCTGAGTTCCTGCTATGGGAACTTTTCTGGCTGAATCTCCCCAGTGAGAAAACAGACAAAAATTTGGCAGAAGTTCAAACCCTTCCGCACTCTATCCAAAACATAAAACATGGCAAGAATTAAAGGAGTTCTAAAGTCCCAGCATATGGTATCCTGTTATAAAAATCAACATTGTAATAGGAATACATACTGGAGTTGTTTTTGATAATACAATCAAAGCTTACTTTAAAAAATCCCTTTAATGGAGTGCTGCCTTCTATCTACTCATCACTTTTAACATCTTCTGTATTCCCAGTGTGCTTTGTGTCTATTCCCCTGCTGCTTGATGTTATGCGATCTTGATTGCTCAAGACTACCTGCTTCCAGCAAGCAATGATAGTGTTACATTGTTCAGATGTTGAGTTGTAATTCAGATGGCAGGTTTGGTTAGAGTGGTGACACAGGGAAGTTCATATTCACAGGGCTGAGTGAAATCGTGTCGTTGCATTGAGGAATGCTATGGCCATCTTCAATAAGTATGTTTACAAACTTCCAGATCAATGTGGTTATTAGGAGTGGGATAGAACTTATGGAAATTCAATATAGAAATACATTTTTAGTTTTTGACCCTAGATACCCTATCAGCTTTAACATATGTAAGATGGGTTGCCCCATCGAATGAAATAAATGTGTTTAAAGGCCATCTCGCATTTTTCTTCCATTTTATTTTTAAAGGTATCGGAAGCCAAAACTTTTTTTAGTTTTGGATAGTTTCATAAGGTAGTAACTTTGGTGGGATTTTGTACTGCTACCTGTGGCTCCCTGAAGAAAATTAAATCTGTTACCATGGCTAAAAAAAACTACATTTTGTGTTTTGAGCAGTAATAGAAGGAAAATCTTCCAATCAGGACATTTGTTCCAGCACCACCTGTCAAAGATGGCATATTCCTCACTTTGAAGAGATTTCCTCTCACTTCCTGTTGTATTTACAGGACAAAAAGTGAATGGAAATATCTCCAAAGATACATGGATGACAAAAAAGGAAAACCGAGGGGTCATAACCCTTACCTACACTATCCAAACTTTGGAAAAACCCTTTGGTTTAATATATACTTTAACATAATTTATTTTTAAGTCTAAATTAAGAAAAGGATATGCTGTAGATTTTACCCCAAACTGTACAGTTCTCTCTTCTGAGTGTATGTAAATATTGCTCCAGCTTTATGTTGTGTTTTTGTTTAATGTCTATAGACCTGACAGCCATATTTGAGGGAATCGAGCTGGAGATTACTGTATGTACAGAGGACCTGCAGGCACAACAGTCACATCTACTGAAGTGGACAAACACGAAGGATCATTTCATGGGTTTATGATTGTGTTTAACATTCCTGTTCATGCTCATGAGTCTGCTGTGTCCATGAATGTATACAGAAAACCGAAACGACTGAAAGAATTTTTAATAAATTTGTGCTAAAAGCTTTTGTTCATAAAATGGTTGCTGATCTTTTGTTCTACGAACTAATTAATACTGTAGATCAGGGGCGCCCACTATTTTTCATCTGGAGATCTACTTTTCAAATGACGAGCTCATTGAGATCTACCAACGAAAAAACACCTGCATTCAGGGGCGGGAGGGGGCATGGGCTGCGCAGGCAGGCCCCTCGCCCACAGTGCGATCGCCTGCATTAGTGCCTGTCTTCCAGTCCAGTGCGATCTGCAAAAATGCTGCGAGCACTATTTTTGCAGATCGCACTGGACCAGAATGCAGGCACTAATGTGCCTGCGTTCTGAGTGCGGGCGATCGCACTGTGGGCAATGCCATTGACTTCAATACAGCTCCACACCCCCTCCCGCATCGTAACACAGGGAGTCGGCCTGCTTACATTCCAGTGCATTCCAGTACATTACAGGTCCCGGCGTCCTGTCCTCCCGTGGTGCTCGTGTGGCCGACGTTGCACAAGGGGTGTCCTGCACCTTTCCATCTGCAGCGTCTGACGCATTCAGCCGCACGAGCACCACGGGAGCATAGCCGTAGCAAGCTCCTTTTGCGCCTGAGGCAAAAAAAAAGACGTTTTTTTAAAAAATTTATTTTTTACTATTTCCTCCGCCCTCCCCCGCCGCCGGTTCCTTCACTTCTTCTCGGATCCCCGCTGGGGAGAGCAGCGGGGATCCAGAGAAGCGGCAGGAGGAGAGGACATGGCGATCTACCAGTGATCGCTACGCGATCGACTGGTAGATCGCGATCGACCTTTATGGGCACCCCTGCTGTAGATGATTTCAAGGAAAAACATGTAGGCTGCCAACGCTGAACTTGTTCAGATAGTATGACTTGCTTGTTCGACTTCATTACTTTGAGCCATTGACCTGAAAAAAAGAATGCAGGGAGTGATGTCTCAACTCCTGATTTGCATACTTGTTTTGAGTCATTGACTAAAGCTGGCCATACACCACTAGATTTTCTGCAGATGTTCTATGGTCAGATGGAAACAGTGCAACAGATTCCTCCTTCTACGCTAAACTGTGTGGATGGAGAAATCTCCACCTGGGCCAAGCTTCAGTATCTTGCTAGTAGGCCCCACTGGCTCTCAAAATACCTGAAAAATGCCTGCATCCAACCGGATCGTTCAGGCATTTTGATAGCCAGCGGGGCCAACTAGTAAGATACTGAAGCTTGGCCGAGTCGGAGATTCCTCCATCCACACAGTTGAGTGTAGATGGAAGAATCTTTTGCGCTTTTTCCATCTGTCCATAGAAAATCAGTTGTCATCAGAACGAGAATAAAGAGGGAATCCCCCAATGTGGACACCTGTGTCTGAGGGGAGATATAAAATGGGATTTCCCCCTATTTCCTTTTACGTCTCTGGGACAGAATGCAAAGGAAAACTAGACACCGAGAACATGAAAAAACATGACCAGGGTTCAACTTCTAAACATTTCCTGCTTTATCCAAAAATGAAAATAAAAGGTTGTTGGCTTTGGATACACCTTAAGATGATCTTTGCAGCGTCCAAGTACCTACTTTAATAAAAATAAATCGAGTAAATATTTCCAAAGATAGTTCTGAAGGCTGCAATAAGATCTGAAGACTGCAATTGCTGACCTCCTAAAAATGCTAGTTGCCTGGCTGTTATGCTGACCCCCTTAGTATCAGTACATCCTGGATAATTGATCCTCTAAAGGATTTTTTTTGCACAATCACCATTGTTTGCTTTTGTTTTTTCCTTGAGACTTTTTATTGTCTATATTGCTTTTGTGTCTTTGTGTAGATATTTTATATGCCTCATTTGTTTGAAGGCTCATATATGTGACTCACTTATATATGTTTCAATTTATTAGATATGTATGATTATTAGCTCGGCACAATATTGTTTTTCACATATTTTTTAGATATTTTAGTTATATCCTTTAGTGCTTGGTAGCTCTTATTTCCACATTACACTTACTGGCGCTGATCACCTTTATTGTTTATTGTGTATTTACATTTTTACTGCAGTTTGTCTGTTTGACAAAAGATATTATTACACTACTGACGAGGTAGAATTTTGCTCAAAGATACCACTCTGTATATACTTCTTACTGCAGAACCATACCTCATTTTTCTGTAGACAAAAATGTACTGATGTACACAGTAGATATGTTTTTTTATTGTACTATTGCTGATGTGCTATCTATACTGGCCTACATATATATCATATATATATATATATATATATGTGCGCCTCCCCCTTTCTCTATGGCAGTTATGAAACACTTGCTTCAGTTTATCTCTGATAGACCTGGTGTCCCTTTGCTCATTATGTTCACAAAGCAGGTCTTCAGGATATCTGTTGTACTAGGAGGTCCTCGGACTATCTGGTGAAATAGGAGGTCCTCAGACTATCTGGTGTACTAAGAGGTCTGCAGGATATCTGGTGTTCTAGGAGGTCTTCATGCTGTCTCCTGTACTAGGAGGTCTGCAAGATATCTGGTGTACTGGCAGGTCCTCAGGCTGTCTGCTCTACTAGGAGGTCTGCAGGATACATGGTGTACTAGGAGGTCTTCAGGCTGTCTGCTGTACTAGGAGGTCTGCAGGATATCTGGTGTACTAGGCACCCTGGGGAACAGCTGTTTTTACATGATTTTCCCACTCTGATCAGTCCTTTTCATGAATCAACATAGTTCGGGGGAAGTTTGTTATCCAATATTACCAGTCTTTTATGCTCCAAGAGCATAAATCCAGAATCATTCCCCCCCAGTTATACACTTGGGATTGCATGGTAGGACCAATACTATTAGATGGAAAGTAAACCCATCCTTTCTCCCTAATGCCCTGCTGCTCACACTGGCAGATTTCTTAACAATTAACATGGATTGCATGGAATGCTTTAAAACCACCTAACTGTAACTTGTCATGGGCGGAGCGGCTTTTGACAGCTATGTTAGGTTACACAGCAGTGGGGAAGCCTTGCCACTACCACCACTGTGCAACCTAACAAGAGAGGTCAGAGATACAAGAAGCCGCTGATTTGAGGTCAGAGGCTTGAGCTCTAAGGATGGTTTGGACCAGTGGCAAAGCACTATTGGTCCAAGCCGTCTTATCGGAAAAAAAAAACTGACTGCATCCATCTAGCTAAACTACATTAGCTGACAAAACCTATATAAAACCCTACACATATCACCTAGACCAAAGGGTACAATTATACTGAATGCTTACAAAACTTTGTCCTTGACTAAGGGAGAGCACAGGAGATTATTCATGAAGCATCATTATACTGAAGAAGGTAAAAGTACTAGTCATATGCTAGCCAGGGCCCAGATAGATCCCACACATGTAGCCTCTGCTGTTACGCCCTCCAGACAGGTAACCACAAATTCTCTCAACTTTCAGGGCCTGTTACAAGGATTTATACCACCCTAGAGTGTCTTCTACAGATCGGGAACTAAATTATTTCCTAAAACACTGCACTTATTGACGCAGAACAGTTTGTTTTTGCTTTACTAAACTGAAAATGTATCCTAAAATTGCATATTCTCTTTTCATCATAAATCAGCTTTTGTGCATTTGTGTGGCTTTCAATGTGAGATGAGTGTGTGGCTTTTGAGCTGTTATTAGTGACATTTTAATTTTGCCCGGAGTTTTCCTTTAGAAAAATCTCCTCCACGTGCCTAGCAGGCCATTGCATAAGAAGTGCAAAAAGCAGAAAGAGCACACAATCAAAATTGTGGTCTCTGGGGTAAAAAGAGCAATTATAGAAGCTCTCAAAACAGATCCACCTCTTGAGTTTTCCATCTGTGTCACAGCAGACTGCATACCGACAGCTGCATGTTCACACAGACATAGCTAACTCTGAATTAGATCCATATGATAGTATATATAGCGTATATGCAGTCTAGGCTTGCCCTCCTGATTGACAGTTATACAAGAGAACGTAAAATATGTCCAAGAAATGTATTAAACTTCCACACCCTGCATATATTTAGCAAATCAGCTGCTTGCACAGACTTTTTACTTATTACAATTTTGAAAGCGGTAATCTGAGACAAAGTGCATTACTTATTTACACGTAGCACAGCAGACTTTATTTACCCCACAGGACATTTTATATATATCAGAGAAACCATGGCTGGAAACATAACATGGAATTACTGAGTCTCAGGGTCCCCTAGGTTCATGGAGACCTCTACTGTGATAAATAGACTGGCTGACATTGCCTCCTGAAAATGCTAGCTGCTGGCCTTTTACTGACCCAATGGCTTCATTAGGCCTCATTCACATGAGAATCGGCCGGCACGTACAGATCTGTGCTGTGTGCACGGCCATATCGGGCAGCTCCAAGGAAGGACAGGTGCTGCGTGTGATTAGTACGCAGCACCTGTCCTCTATGGAACTACGTGGCCATACGCCCCCCTAAGCTCACCCGCCCTGTACGTCCTTGCGGGTGAGCGTACTCGTACGCTGACAGGATGGATCCTGTCTGCGTGCTGAGCCGGGACAACCCGCAACCGTACGGACCTGCACTTGAGGTGAGCGTAGGGGGGCGTAAGGCCGTGTACTCCTATAGAGAAGGACAAGGGCTGTGTACTAATCACACGCAGCACCTGTCCTTCATGGGAGGTGCACAGAGCTGAACGTGTCGGGCGATTTCTCGTGTGAATGAGGCCTTACTGTGAGTCACTGAACTGGAAGTATGAAGATCACTTAAAACTTCACTCGTACTTTCTTAAACTTTGTTGCAACTGTTTGTTGTATAATGTCCTTTCCAAACTGATTACTGAATAGGAGGGTCAGGTTCATTATAACCACCTGCTGCACTTTAAGTGTCCTAATGAGGAAAGTTGCAGTGTCTGCATTCCCTTAGTAGGTAGTATCCCACCGCTTTCTTGAAAAATAAAATTGCTATTGCCAGGGATGCCGAAAATTTCACTTGTATTTCAGTGCAGACGCCTGTCAAAATCAGTCAGCCAATCACAAAAACAGGAAATTACACTTCTGGGGGTGTTATGTACACCAGCTGCGTACAGAACACCTCTAGGTCCCCATATTGCATTGAATTTTTTTTTAAGTTTTAAAAAATTACAGTGGCTGCAGTTTTAAATGGAAAGGTAATTTTTATTAACATAAAATTACAAATTGGCGTGTGTAGCAATTATTTCTGCTATATTCATTTTGTTTACGATTTTTTAGTTTTATAAATTTTTTTACAGTAGAATGGAGTTGAACTCCAAGCAAAAGCAATTCATCTCTCTCTTTCTCTCTCTCTCTCTCTCTCTCTCCTACCTGATCCTGTTTTTTTTAAATGCTTCCAAAACTCAGATTTGCTTCAGCTGTCACGTGACCCTCTGCAGCACATCTTCCCTTTTATAGGGATTGGTGTTTGATGGTTTTCACTGATTCCAATGATTTTCCCGTGGTTTAGACCTTGGCATGGTTATTGGTGCTAGATTGGCTGGTATGAGTCTTTCTAACTGCTGATTTCCTGGGATTTTCATGCAAAGTCTCTAGAGCAGTGGTTCTCAACCTGCGTAACCTCAGTACCCACATTTGTCCTTGGTCATTAAGTCGCGCTCAAGTCACACTGCAATGGAACGCAGGGCATTAGGGTACCATGCATTATGGTGTGCAGGGGCAGACTGGGCCGGGGGGCAGGGTGGCAATTGCCCCCCGGGCCTCTCTGATGCTACCGCGAACGGCCCCTTGACCCCCGGCTGCTGCCACCTATACCCGGCCGCCCGCCGCATCCGACGCGGCTCTGTGAATGGTGCGGCCGCGGCTCCTCAAGGAGGTGCTCGGGAGGCTCCAGCAGGGGGCCCTCTAACATGCCGCGTCTACCTGGTACAGCCAGCGCGGATCGCCTCGGTATGCGATCCGGCTGGCTGGATCAGGCAGACGCGGCC